TTTGATAAAAGTTAAACAGTTATGGATTTCATAAAATATATTATTAAAATTAATTGTTAACTTTGATTTACATTAAAATTTAGATTTCAATTGATACCAAACATGACTTCAAAAACAAAATCTCAAAAGTTGGGGGCACGTGCCCCCGAACCCCCTAGGTCCGCCAGAGAACATAGGTAGATATATGTGATATGCCCACTTAATTTGAGGAGTTTAATTTGTCTTTAAATGTTGTTTTTGCTATTTATTTAATTTGTGGCAATCGATTCAATTGTAAATATTATAGCATTAGGGTAGTAAATGGATATGAGTAGGTCAAATTGCTCCAAAGGAAAGAACACAAACTAGTCACGTATTATTTTACGTGTAGCCTTGTAGGCGATGAGAATGGGGGAGTTATACTATGTAGAGGAAGGCAAGATAACTCTACTACCATTCACTCATTTTTGAATTGTCGTTAGATAACTTATTTTTGAAAATTGCGAATCATTTACTCAAATTAGGCACGGGGGATCATTTTCGTTATTTTCTACTCTCAATGTGCGAGATCTTAGGTCAAAATAATCAACTAAATAGGGTCAATGAGCTATTTATATATTATCATTGAAAAAGTGAATAGCCCTTCAATGTAATCCCTTCATGATTTTTGAAAGTACTCAGCCATCTAAGTAGGGGACTAGACTATGAGATCCTATATATAACTCAATAAATCTTCCTTTAGATTGTTACTTTTCATTCATTTGGTGTAATAATGTGAACTTTTATATTTGCATGCACACTTGATAAACATATAACGCCACGTTGAAATAACACAGTTAATTGTATATCTCATTTTTTCTAGCATTTTAAAATTATGTTTACCCTCAATCTTGACTATAGAAAATAGAGTTTATTACTTCTTTACATTGGTGGATTTACCATGAGGGCAGTGGACCCCACTGCCTCCACAATAAATTTTCAAAAAAGTCCTTATAATTTTTAAATTTTGCCCCTACGATTAAAATTTTATGAAATTTGTCCCAGGATTATTTTCTTCTAGCTCTGCCGTTGCTTCTTTATGAGTAAAACACGAATGTTCAATCCATTTTTGTGTGCGCACAAAAATGCAAAAACATGTATACAAATTGTTTTTATTTTTCTTACAAATTGCGTCATTACTTGTCTAAGACCTTGTTTGGTTTAACTAAAAATCAAGTATTTTTAGTAAATTTTAATATAAGTTGAGTAAATATATGAATAAAAAGTTGATAAAAATTATGCAAACGTACGGTTCAAAATAACTTTAATGAAAAATAAATTATAAAAATTCACTTTTTGAATGTAATTTCTTGCAGTCAATATCGAGTCCAATTACTTGCCTAGATCCATTGTACTATCTTTGACACAGGTAGGTTTCATAATCATGCTTTTATTTAATTAACCCTAATTTGAAGGTACTTAATGTTGAGAATATCTAGAAGCCAAATACTCTATAATTGATTTGACTAATCCACGCAGTTTGATCACTCGAATTTGTTGACCAGTCAGTACTTGTACCTAATCTTTTTTCTTTTGAAGGGGCACTCTTGTCGTCTATGTGGCCTCCTCACTGGATGCCACATCATCAAAATAAATTCAATCTCATGTACTCAAGCCCCTGTTCGTCTATCATTATTTCAAAAAATTATTTGCAACAGTAAGATTCTCTACCACACATTCTCCCAATAAAATATTCTACACATAAACCAATAAAGTTACTTTAAGCCCCTGTTTGACAGCCATTTTATTTGGAAAATAATTTTTGGAATAGTGATTGATGGAAGATTATGTGGTTGAAAAATAAGGAGAATTTTTGGATTTATGTGTAATATTATTTTATTAATAAAATGTGTGGTTGAAATGAAGAATGTGAAATAAAATGAGAAAAAAATGGGTGTCAAACAGGGGCTAAATTTCAACTATACATTCTCCAAAAAATACTATTCATTACTCTATTTTTTTCTCAATAATCGGAGACAAACACACCCTAAATTTGTAGTTATGCCTTAGTAATTTAGGGTTTGTAATTTTGCATGGAGTGGTCCCTTGACCAAATATCCAAGTATGTTTCTCTCATGATCAAGGGATAGTTTTTGGGGGTAGTTTCTATATCACATGCATGCCAATTGATGGTTATTGTTTGGTAGTTTTAGTGATAATGTGGAAAGTGATGTATTGTATCAATTTAATTTTCATTCAACATTTTTAAGTTAAGACTTAGGTCATGTTTGTTTCTGACTAAAAGTATCTTTTCATCTAAGTTAAAGACAAACAATTATTATAAACCACATCTTTTATGAGTCCCATAGTTTTTCAACAACACGTTTCAATAACTTCTATCACAATCTACTAAAAATCTAATTTTAATCACCACCAAACACCCGCTTCATAAAATTAAATATAACAATTTACAACGTTTTGTCATGTATATTACTATTTTTAATCGCTTTATACATTTGACAATTATAATTGAACCATCGAAAGGTAGTAAAATTATTAGTAACCTTTTAGGGTTGTGTTACACGTACATAATAATTTGCACAATAATTTACCAACAGACAATGTGGCGAGTTTTAGTTAGATCTAAATTTCAACAATCAAATAATTTCCTCGCTTACATTTTGACACTTCATTATTATGTAAAACATTATGTAAATAGTTATGTACCAAAAATATTCTTCAACCTTTTAGAAGGAATAATATTGGATCTCACGATTGTATAATTAATAAATGGATAGTTGTAAATGTGTGCTTAAAATTAATATTTTTGACTCTGATGAACTAAAGAAGTTACTTTTTAGTAATTTTTAATGTTAGACGAATAGAACTGTCCAATTTATTGAGCACAACAAATTTACTAAGATCAAGAGATCAACGAGATTGGAATCACAAGCACACTTAATAACAATAAATCCATTGATTGATCATCAACGTTTATGATAGAGTAGAGACTACATATCGCGTGCATGAGGCTCGAGGCATGAGTTTGGAAGTGAAAAATTAATGATAAAGCAATGATGCATGGAGGTAGAAGGTTTGTAGATTGTGAACTAGAAATCAAAGATCGACTCAAGTCAATTACCTCTACACAAGTGTTCGCGGAACAATGACATATATATTGTATTAAATAACTTACCATATAAGATAGTACCAAAAATATGTATAAAATTCTTGAATATTAGTAGATAAGTAAACCGTTCTATTTTCGAGTATTCGAATTTTTCCTACTTCCTTAACTGAAAAAATTGTTAAAAGACATACATATTATAAACAAACTTCTTAAATGGAGTGTTTCAATGTGCTACTTAATAGAAGGGAAAAAAATCTTAAATTAAGTTCCCTTCTCAACCAGACGAAGGAGATATGAATTCATTCAGGTGGGCAAGGGCTTCAACCCAATTTTACAATTTGTTCTTGTGGTGTATATATCTGGATCCAGCAAGAATTTGAGTTTCCCACTCCAAAACGTCAAAGGAGTAATCACATGTTTCCCTCTTCTAGTATGGTGAAAGGAAGGAAGGAAGAAAGGGCAGCAAGCATTTACCTGCATATTCAGTCGCAAGACTTCCGTGACACTATACCGTCCATTATATACAATGGCTGTCTTTTCATTTCTTCCATCGATTGAGAGTACGTAAATTGTAAGTCGAGCTTCAAAACCTAAAAAAGTTACTTATAATAATATTTTACCTCTAAACATATTTGAAATAACTTACTTCTATATTCCATGGCTGTCTAATTTTCAGTTCTTGGACCGGTCGATATACATTATGTAACTCGAGATTTAAATAACGTGAGAATGTTTGGTTAACCCTTAAAAAGAGCAAAGTTATTTTTAAGTAATTTTTTACCTTCGAACATATTTGGATAACTTACCTTTTTTTCTTTCTTCATTGTAAAAAAGCTTCTTGGCATTCATGTTAGATACTATTGATCAAAGTTTTAAGTAAATCTATTAATTTGATATTAGTGACCAAAGTTTTAAGTAAATTTCAAAAAATATACTTAAAACTAACTTATTTAACCTATATATACAAAATGAGGAATGATTTAATCATTTATTTCAGATAAAATATGACTAATAGTTTCACGCGAACATTTTTATCAGAAAGTTACAGACGAAAATAGACGATAAAATGCTTCAAATAGTCTTTCAAGAAACATTACACATTCAAGTAAAAGTTGCTGGGGAATTTTAAAAAAGTAACAGTAAATATATTCAACTTTTCGGAACCCTAGCATAAGATTTGTTTCGGAAAAATTAGATACTGGTCCTTTCCATTTCTGCATCCAGTTTTCTTGATGGAATTTTCCTTTTTTCTATTGAACTAGAATATTTGTGGAAGTTCCATCACTTCTTGACCTGATGTTTCATCCAGTAGCCATGTCTCAAGAAATGACAATGGAGGATTGTTTTCGGCTTTCAGATCATTCTGATCAATGCCAGTGCCACTGCTTTCAGAACCTCTTTTACTTGAATAGCAGGAAGATATTTCAAAGGCCATGTCATTTAAGTTGTTGAATGACAATATTGATTCAAATTCATCAGCAGGGATCACGTTTTTGTCTTCTTGATCTATCTGTGGTCTATAATAATCAAGTGAAGGTCTAGTTGAAGAAGAACATTCAGTGCGATTATTTTTTGTGCTCATAATGCTTGGAAATTCTTTGTGATTTCCATCAGGGGCAGTGCTAGTTTTTGCAGATGATCCCATCCATTCTTCTAGGAGTCTTGATATATTTTCTGCACTCGAGGCATATGCCGAAGAGTTTTCTGTGTAATTCTTGGACACGAGCTGATAAGTGGTCGAATCAGATGTCATTTTGGTATCCAAATTTGCCTGAAATTTGTTTATCTTCTTCTTCAGGTGCGTGTTCCAGTAGTTCTTGATATTGTTATCTGTCCTTTGTGGAAGATATGAAGCTATAGCTGCCCATCTGTCCAAAAGAACAGGTTAAAAGAAGGCATAATAGGGTTATATTAACAAAATTGTACCAACTAACGAGGTTACTATGAAATATTTATTCGGAAGGCAGATAGGCATAATAGTTCTAAGATTTGACGTTTTACAGAATTATGTGAGACAAAGTTCAGGGTTCTGAAAACATTACTTGTTACCCAATAAAGCTTGTAGATGGATTATCATTCCCTCTTCATGCGTAGTGAAATTTCCCCTCTTGATTCCAGGTCTCAGGTAATTAATCCATCTAAGCCTGCAACTTTTGCTGCACCTCAACAAACCTTAACAAAAAGGGAAAATTGAATCAAAGCAAGAAAATAATAATTTGATGAAAGAAATGGACTAATTGTGGATGATTGAGATACCGGTGTTTGTAGGTACTGCACGCCAGTTTCCGGGGCCATGTTCTTGGATGTAAGAGACAAGGATAATGTCTTCTTCCGGTGTCCATGGACCTTTCTTGATACCAACTTTTTCACAACAAGGAGGCCTGCCCATTTCTACCTCTCTGTGTATAGGAAGGAAAGAAAGGAGATACTCGAATACCGAAAGGAAAATTTGGAAGATCGGGAGTGGAGTGGAAGAACTAACTTCCACAATGCCTCTCTATAATGACATGATGAGTCACCTTAAATACAAGGCCTCTTATAAGACAAAAGGCTATATATCTTGTATTCACCTGGCTTGGCTTCTCCTATGTACTTTAAATTAAGTAAAACGTCGACCTGGCATAGACCTAAAGGGGTTCATTTTAATAAGAGCGACTCAACCTAATCTAGTTGCTAATGATTTTCTAAATATGTGTAGCAATGAACCGAACGAAGGAAAAATTTCACGTAGCCAGCCACTATATCATAAGGAAAGTTAAATTATTTCATCTTTTTCTGTTGATGGAAAGTAGACATGTAACATTTGCTCTGATTGTGTTATGTCAATAATTGAGGAAAAATAATGCGAAAAGTAACTATTATCAGTAAAAGGCCAGCAGGCCCCTACTGTATGTCAAATTGCAATCTTCCTGGTATACTGCAGTTGGCCATTAATGGCTGTTGCTGAACATCAAATTCCAGCTCTTCAGAGTCAGATGAAGCTCAAAGAACCAAGGATATTAGCAACAAATAGTTATGCAGAAGTTAGCTTAATAGCTTTTCTGAGCATGAAAAATAGCAGCAGAAGTATCATACTTTTGTGTTGTAATAAGTTAATTTCCAAAATTTTCATTTGGTCGATCCCAGCCTTTTAACTTTGTAGCAAGTTTGCTCTATTAGATGCTTTCCATCTAATTTAGTATTAAAAAGTCGATGTCATTTTTTAAAATTCTTTCAACTAGAATAGAAAAGAATAAAACTAAAAAATGAGGGAAAAAAAAAAAAACATTTTATCGTCCTACCCTCAACCAAGAAAGTAGTGGAGAGAGCGAATTAGAGGTGTATTTAATTTCTACAAAATCAATTTGAGCAGCCAAATATGCTGCTGTTTTCACTGGGACTTTATTTCATCAAAAGTGAATTAACAGAGAAAGTTCAAAGCATTTAAACGGAAAATAGAGCAATGAGAAAGTGACACCTGACAAACTAATTAACTAACTAAAGTAAAGGTAAACATATGGAAATTAATAAATCCTTCATCCCCCCTCAAGCTGGAACAAGATGAAGATCCTTGAGACCAAGCTTGCCAGTAAGGAGACGAAACTGAGGAGGTGGTAAAGCTTTATTGAAAACATCGGCGAGCTGATGGGAAGAAGAGACAAACTGTGGAATAACAAAGCCTTCCTTGAACTTGTCTCGCACAATGTGACAATCAATTTCGAGATGTTTGGTCCGCTCGTGAAAAATGGGATTTGCCGAAATATGAAGGGCGGACTTATTATCACACCACAACGGAATTGGTAGAGGTATGTTGATCTGAAAATCAGCAAGCACATAGCTGATCCATCGAAGTTCACAAACGGTAGCAGCTAAGCTTCGATACTCTGCCTCTGCTGTTGACCTGGAGACAGTGGTTTGTTTCTTGGTTTTTCAAGAAATCAGAGTAGAGCCCAGAAAAATGCAGAAACCAATAAGTGAATGTCGACTATCAACACAAGAGGCCCAATCCGCATCAGAATAGGCAGTTAAAGAAAGATCTTGCTGAACAGGAAAAAATAAACCAGTCGATGGACAACCTTTCAAATACTTCAATAAGTGCATTGCTGTATCCCAATGAACTTGACACGGTTTGTTGACAAACTGGCTCAATTGTTGAATTCCGTAAGTAAGATCCGGCTGTGTCAAGTTCAGATACAGAAGTCTGCTGATCAACCTCCGATACTTAGCTGGATCGGGAAAGAGGTCACCATCGTGTTGGGACAATTTCGTTCCTTTAGGAATTGGAACGCCAACAGGTTTTGCACCCGCAAGACCTGCATCATCAATAATGTCCAGGATGTATTTTCGTTGATTAACATATGTTCCATCCTTGCCTCTTGCAATTTCGAGTCCTAAAAAAAACTTTGCATAACCCAAATCTTTGATGGTGAATTTGGAATGCAAAAATTGCTTGACAGAAATGATGTCCGATTCATGAGTCCCAGTGATCAGAATGTCATCTACATATATCAAAAGAAAAACACTATGGCGAAAAGACTGATGAATAAAGAGACAATGGTCATGCTGAGATTGAGTGAAACCGTAATCAGTGAGTTTATGTAAGAGTTCAATGTTCCATTGACGTGAAGCATGTTTCAAACCATAAAGACTCCTTTTCAATTTACAAACCTCCCTATCCAAAGCCTGTGTGTACCCAGCTGGTGGTGCCATATAGATTTCCTCATCAAGATACCCATGCAAAAATGCATTGTTTATATCCAGCTGGTGAATGGGCCATGATTTTGCTGAAGCAACCGCAAGGAAAATACGCACCGTAACTAACTTGGCCACAGGGGAAAAGCATTCGAAGAAGTCTATCCTTTCCATTTGATCATAAGTTCATAACCTTTTGCGACTAATCGAGCCTTGAATCGATCAATGGTTCCATCCGGATTTAGCTTTAACTTATAAACCCATTTGGACCCTATGACTTTCTTCCCAGCAGGTAAAGAGGTCAATTCCCAAGTATTATTTTCCTCCAATGCTTTCAACTCATCATTCATGGCTTGCACCTAATGTTGATCCTTACATACTTGATGATAAGTATGTGGCTCCTAAACATTTGATACATTGGCCAGAAAAGTATTATATGCATGATGCAAATACGGTGAAATAGAGTATGGAAATGTGATAGGTGTGTATTGTGAACTGAGCTTAGGAGGTACAAGGCGTGCTTGGACAGTAGCAATTGGATTTACTGAATGTTCAGTTACATTGGTGATATAATCATCCAACCAAGCTGGCTTTACCCTCGATCTACTACTATGCCTAGGTTCTGGCACACCATCTGACTTAGTGACAGAAGAATCAAGAAAAGGAACTTGTATAAGAGGCACATGATGAAGATCTAAATTGGAGTAGCTGGGTGAATTAGTAACAGAAACAGAATTTGTCATAGGCACTTGAAGAGAGTCAGAATTATTGTGACTAGATGTAGGGGAATTGTAAGAAGACACAGAAGGATATATGGAGAAGTCATCTAAAGGAGATCCTATAGGCAAGGGTGTGTGAGTGATAGGCTGAATTTTAGATTTAAAAGGAAAGATGTTTTCATAAAAAATAACATCCCTTGAGACATGTATTTGTTTGCTGAAAAGATCAAAGACTTTATAAGCCTTTTGCCCAGGGCTGAACTTAATAAAAATGCACTTATGAGCCCTTGAATCAAACTTATCCTTGTGAGGTTTAGTGTTTGTGATATAACACAGACTGCCAAAAATTTTCAGTGAAGATAGAACAGGTTTGGATCCATATAGAATTTCAAAAGGAGTTTTCCATTTAAGGATGGAACTAGGAATCCTATTGATGATATAGGTGGACATACGAATAGAATATGACCAAAATTGCTTAGGTAAATCAGCTTGAAACATGAGTGACCTAGCCATATTTAACAAATGTCTATGTTTTCTTTCCACCACTCCATTTTGCTGAGGAGTATAAACACATGATTTTTGATGCAAAATACCAAGAGTCTGAAGCAAAACTTGACAGTTATGGCCAGTGAATTCATTACCATTATCGGTTCTTATGGCTTTGACATGTTTTTCAAACTGAATGCTGACCATTTTAAAAAAGGACTCAAGAGTTTTTAAAGTCTGGGATTTCTGAATTAACATGTAGGTCCATGTAGCTCTAGAAAAATCATCCTGTCAATGGCTGAGGCATTACAGAATGGACTAAGAAAATCTAAGTGTTTAAGATATTGATATGAAGCATGCCCCAACCTATTATGTCAGTCAACAATAGAAAGTGAAGAAGCTTTATTGATATGAAAAATACCATCAGTAGTTTCAGAACTTCCAACAGTCAATTTATTACAAGAACTAGCTTCTCTATTACGAAGTTCAATCTCCTCTTTCTGAAAACTATGATCATCCAATATGTATAATTTCCCAGTCAGTTTTCCAATTGCTAAAGTCCTTTCATCCTTCAGGTCCTGTAGGAAGCAATGAATAGGATAAAAAATGAATTTTATTTTTGCTGTTTGTGTTAATTTTGGGACAGATAATAGGTTAAATTTGAATGTGGGAGTATGTAACACATTGGTGAGGAGTAATTTCTGATTTAGTGTAACTGAACCAATGTGTTTGACATGTTTAATAGAACCATTAGGTAAGCAAACAACAGTGGACTGTGTGACTGGCTTAACATTGGTCATTTGATTAATGTCTGTGCATATATGATTGCTGGCACCAGTATCAATTATCCAGGGTTTGTGTAGGTTTTAGTAGTTCAGATGTAAAGGCCAGGTGTTGAGTACACATACCTGAGTAATCATTGAGATGTGCAAAATGGATTTGATTTCCATTGTCAACCAGCAACTTTCCTTTGAACATCTTCATCAGCTCTTGTTGAACAATGTCTGTGATTTTATTAGCTGATATATCAATTTTTTTTTATTATTCATCATGGCTTCTCTGTCTTCAAAATCAAGAAGTGAATTTGTCATGTTCAGTACATTATTCACCATAGTCCTCCCTCCAAATTCTTTAGATCTTTGTTCCTTCAATCCTTTATACCAATCGGGGTAACCAATAAGCTTGAAACAACCTTCCTTTGAATGTCCATTTACATTACAGTAATCACAGTACAGCATCTCCCTAACAAAGTTGTTAAACCTTCGATTGTTTCTTCTTCCAAAAGTGTTATTTCCTCTTCCGAAATTGACTCTTCCATTCCAGCTTCCTCTTCCTCTCATATGTTCATTACTTCTGTAATTGTTTGTTGATGCCATCATAGCCAGATTATCAGCAGCTTCCAGGAAAAGTATATGTACCTCCCTTTGTTTTTCCACTCTCAAAACCATGGAGTAAGCTTTGTTAACTGATGGTAAAGGATCCATCACTAACAGTTGATTTCTGATATTATCATAAGTGTCATTTAATCCCATCAGAAACTGCATAAGTTTACTGAATGAAGCTAAATCTGTTACTTCCTTCGCAGCTCCACAACTACACACTAGAATAGGCATCAAACACGCAATTTCATCCCCTGGTTTCTTGAGTTTAGCGAAATATTTTTCAACTGATAATGAACCTTGAGTGGAACTACTAATCTCTCTCTGCAATTGATACAATAACGGACCATCGCATTCCCCATACCTTTCCTCCAATTTGACCCATAACTCCTTGGCCGAGGTTGTGTAAATGAAGGCATCTACAATTTCTTTTGAAATTGAATTCAGTATCCAAGATCTAACCATACAATCTACTCTAATCCATTGATCCAACTTTGAAGAATTTTCAGCTGGTTTTTCACATTTCCCATTGATGAAATCCAATTTCAATTTTGCACCAAGTGCAATTTTAATCGATCTACTCCAACTCAAGTAATTTTTACCCGTTAAAGGTGAAGTTAGTAATATCATTCCTGGATGATCCGATCCTTGCAAATCCAATGGATCTCCATTGCTGTAGTCCTTCTTCATCGCTCCTTGCTCTGTGGGTAAATCATGTACTGGATCGTGTAAAATTTCTGTAGCCATGATCACCACCAGGTAGAACGATAGAGCCCAAGATCTGGGTAGCTCTGACACCATATTTAATTTCTACAAAATCAATTTGAGCAGCCAAATATGCTGCGGTTTTCACTGGGACTTTATTTCATCAAAAGTGAATTAACAGAGAAAGTTCAAAACATTTAAACGGAAAATAGAGCAATGAGAAAGTGACACCTGGCAAACTAATTAACTAACTAAAGTAAAGGTAAACATATGGAAATTAATAAATCCTTCAAGGTGAAGTGAGGGAGAACCAGAGGGGGTCAAGAGAATCGATTGGAGAGGCTTGGGCGTGAACTAGACGGGAAATCAGGTTTAGTGGAGAGAGCGAATTAGAGGTGAAGTGAGGGAGAACCAGAGGGGGTCAAGAGAATCGGTTGGAGAGGCTTGAGCGTGAACTAGACGGGAAATCAGGTACGCAGAGTGGCGGATTAAGGAGGATTAGAAAGAATAAGGTGAGACAGTGGAGAGGAGGTATAACATACATGAAAGAAATAGACTATGGTGGCCCCCACAGGTATGGCGCAATGTTAAAGCAGGAAGGTTCTCTACGAAGCATTGAAGGTTCGAATCCTCACTGTAGCTGAAAGACAACATTTTTTGAAAGACAAAAGTCCACAGGGAGGAGAACTACCGAATGTCCGGCTCAAGTGTGTATAAATTGTGACCGTATCCGGATTAACCCGAGTGGCGAACCTGGGAGAAGGCTGCCACTCATCATGATTAGTAGAACAAAATTTGAACGCCTGAGTCATAAAAAAAAAAAAAAGAATATGGTGGTGCAATGAAAAATATTTTTAACAAAATAGAATTGATTGTTTGGCCCCCGAGCTCAATTTTTTCAAGAATACGCTTTTTTCAAAATTCATTTTCAATCGCACATTATTTCATAAAATAATTTTATACGTATTTTAAGAATTTTTCCTTATTTTTTAATTACTTATTTTTCATCGAATTACTACTTCAAAATGCATTTTGACATAAGGATGGGACTCCATGAGGTCCATAATGTTAACTAACATATGAAATTAATCCACTACGGATTTTTGACTACCACGTTTAGTTTTCATTTTTAAATGACGGAGTATAGGGACTAACAGCGTAAGAAATTGAAAATCTTCAACCCTTACTCTCTCCTCTTATGGCCGAAGACACAGAGAATTCAGAGATCAACAATCCACAGCGGAAACCATCAGTAAGGAATCCAAATCCCCCTTCTGTGTGTTTCTTGCGCTGCATAATTGTAATCTTATGTTTAGCATTTTCAAATTCTTGTTTCAGTATTTAGTCTTATTTATAACACTCAAAAAGATTGATTTTTAGAACAAAAATTTAAGATGTCCACATGAGTTTTGTGTTGTATTTTGTATCTAAATATGTTGATAACGATTAATTTGTGTTCTATGTTTCGAGTTTTGTAGTTTGTGGAAGTGATATGTATGAGTTCCGGCAAGACCCGGCGGTTTGCTGCGGAGACTGAGGCGGGTTTTGCCGTAAATTTGATAAATAAAAATCTGCTCAGTGATGGTAGTGGTGGTGGGAACATTCCGCTGGCATCCCATATTGAGGCAATCAAAGAAGGGGAGGAAGAGGAACCCGTTAGCTTTGGCCCTAGATCTGTTCTTGTAGACTATGGGCCCGGTTGGAAATTGCAAACTGTTGTTGAACAAAATGGTAGTGTGATGAGAATGTTATCACTTGTCGTCTCGCTCTTAACCGTGCACTTACATCAAAGATGGCACAAGTTTTTCATAAATAGACCTGCCATCGGCGCAATTTAGCTTAACCTTTTAAAGAGTTTATTTACTTCAACTTTTTTCAACATTTAACTCAATACTTAGCGATTTTTCAATCAGTACTAGTGTTGTTGGGTTGGTACAAGCCTGATTTGGTGTAGAGATTTCCTTAATTGGTTTTAACTTGTATGTTGACTTCTGATACGATAATTAATCACCACTGAAAATTCTTTTAATTGTTTGTGGTTTTCTTGTCATAGATGATGTGACTGGAGTACACGTTCGCCCTACAAGAGTACGGAAAGCATATACCAAGGTTTGAATCTTTTGTGTTTTGAGATTTTTCTGGAATTTGTGATCGATCAAATAAGGTTTCTTAGGATAAATATTAGAAGAGGGAGGAAGAAGTTCTTGATTGTAGGATCTGCTCCAAGTATTAGCTAAGAAATGCTAAGGGGGTGGTTGAATTAATGTTAGTGTTAGCTTATGTGAATATGATATTTTAGGTTACTGAGAACTTGTACATCATAAACCGTGACTGAAGCGATTTAAGGTAATGTAAACAAAAAAAATCTGTAAGAGTTAGATGTGTGAGAACTGAGAACAAATAAGGAAAGAATCAACCAGGCACAGTTCCGAAATCATATGGTGGAAACTTTAGATAGTTTGGCATGTGAAATTTTCTGTCTTTGAAGATATGGAGTTATAGTCCTAGATGTAAAAGCATTGTTTGTGAAGAGATGTCAAGAAAATCACCCTTCATGAGAACATAGATAGTAAATATATTGATGATTTGCCAACAAAACATTGTCATTGATGAAAGCAAGCGACAACTGTATTATTTTCTGAATAATGCCTTTGTAGGTCTTACTAGTATATAAGGGACTTATAGAAAGTTGTCATTGCAAGACTGAGTTGGATTTGTGGCCAACATGGAAGAAATGAAATATTATCCAAATGCAATCTTTTACGGTTTTACTGTTGAATAATTCCATCCTACTTAAGTTGGCTATCTCAAGAACTATGCAAGGAGGACAAATAAGCTGTGTTAGAAACCCAATTTCCTAAATCTTCCATTTGAAACTGACTAGATTTTGTATAGAAATCACTTGTCATCCTCTCATTAGCTTATCAGCCTCCGAAGCAAAGAGGAAAAAGAAAAGAAATCGACCGTCCTATTGTTTGATGCATGTTATGTGCTTGGTTCTTTACCGACGTAGGACAATTCTATTATAAATAAGAGTAAGATTAGATATTTATAATAAGATGTCTAGTTGTAATAAGTTTTATCTTTTTATTCTAATATTTTTTTTATAATAAGATTTCTTTTCTTTATTGATTAGAATAAGATTTTAATTTATTTTAGATTATGATTTTAGTTTATTTCATTTTAGAATTTAGTTTCCTTGTATTAATAAGATTAGGGAAAAGTTTTGTCATAAATACAAAGGCATTATACACTTTTTCAACATCAATCATTATTCAATCAATAACAAAGCAAGTTATCCCAGTATTCTTCTTAATTTATTACATAATTGTTATTACAAGAATTTCATAGCGCTTCTGTACCATTTACCTTGTATGAAAAGCATTTGATATCAGGATTATTATCTATTTTGAAAATAAAATCTGCCATCCAAAGTATTTAAACTTGCCTTTGCCCCTTAACTACTGGGCGCGATCTTGGACCTTCAAATATACTCCTTGTAACAAGTCTTCCTCTATTAATATAGCATCACTCATACGAAGCACAGTTTCAATTTGTAATTTCAAAGACAAGTCGGGATGTGATTGAAAAACCTTGACATCACAAGTCAATTATTAATTCTCCTTTTACATTTTTCCTCGAAGCTTTGTTTTCTTAACTGAAGCCATTTATTGTAGACTTGCTTTCTGTGGGTCCAAAAGAAACAACTAGAGAAGTTATTGAATTATGCATGTAATATAGTATGTCTTCTTACTCGAAAACTCTAGCTTCGTGATATTCCTTAGTTGCAAAATCTATTAGCCTAATGAAAAATTGACACTTTTGCAGGGTGTTGATGAATCAAATTCGATGAAGGGACCGTCACAATCAGCTTTTAGTATACTGTACATTGGAAAAATATTGTTTGCTTTTCTTCTATTGTTTGTGTTTGGTGCCATTTTCACGTTACTTTTGGAAAACCTTCCACAGTTAATCTTGTATATCAACTCATCAGTATGATTGCAATGTGTTCAACATGGTCTGTATATTAGATGAATTTCTGTAAATTAACATTTCTGGATTCAGTAGATTACCAATTGTAAAATGCTTAAAATTTTATCAACAAGAATCGGGTGGCTGATTTGAAATTCAGGCTCAATTCAATCGGTTTCTCCCCAATTTCTCTTGCCTTGAATTGTGTTTTCATTTTTCATAATGTATCTGTATTTGATTTATTTATTATTGAAAGGATATATAGAATCTGTTTTGGACAATTTGATATAACTTATTTAGGCAGTGTAATAATCCAAGAATCATAGTTTTCGTTTGGCATGGGGTTCAACAGCAGCCACATTTCTAAGCATAAGGCGATTGTGCCATTGAACTTGCTTTTGGAAGAATGGGTTTGTAGGGTCCTTCCACCAGCACGAACTTCTTAAACAACGACTATTATTTTATCGAATAGGAAACGGATTTCCCAGATCTTTCTTTTCTTTTAAGCTATACCAGAATCTGACCATGAAGTCGTCATTGTAATAAAGTGGAACTATGAACTGACTATTAACTGGAAGTTTGAATTACAAAATTCGCTGACCATCTTTTCACTTTCTTGAACTCTAGAAGAAAATGGTTATGAATTCAGACTGAGAGGAACTATGAACTGTGCAAGCTAAGAATAGAGGATAGACGCTTGCCATTACCCCACAAGAAAGCCGCTAGCCAGTCTCCTGTGTGATCAAACCATAAGCTGAGTCAACTAGATCAGGGTGTTGAGCTGGGATCAAGAGAAGTGTCCCTGTCTTCATCAAAATCCCCGGAAATAATTCAATGTAGTAGATTCCATGAAAACATGCAATAAAGCCATGGAAGAGCTAGAGATCCATTTCACAAATTCAGTCTCACTTCCGATTATGGCCTTTCTTTTGGCAGATGCTTTCACTTCATCCCCCTTACATCTGTTGGAAAGAATACGAAATAAATAGACCATCAAGTACCGTTCAAATTTGCACATGGTACACCGCAGATAAATAGGCTCCTTTTGCATTCCACATTTTACCAAGTATAGAACAGATAGAGCATGGCATGCTCAAAATAAGATGTAGGTAAATAGTGTTTCTCACAATGCTCAAAGTTGTTCAGACTTGGAGGCCCAATAATTTTAATGAAAAGTTTAAGGCTAAAAAGGTCAGGTTTGAATTTGTTCTAGATTATTTGAAAATTGAATGGGACAGTATCAAACAGGAAATGTATTTACCTTTAACGCTGAGGATTGCTTCAACTTTTTCCGTCTTTTCCTGTGCTCATCAGGCTGGCCGGTTGTCAGGTTAAAATCTTGCAATGGGTGATATTTCACCGAAGCCAGCTGTCCCTTGGCCGCATCCAGCCTTTGTTTTTCAATTCTCTTCAATGATACATAGAGAAACACCAATAAATACTCAGCATGAACATTTCAGTTTATAGGGAGCTTCTAAATGCACCACATTCTTTTTTCTCTCCGTATTTTCTGTCCACACTCGTCACCCAATTAAAAATAGAAGGCAGATTTGGACTTACGAGGGCATTATCATATCCCGCAATTTGTTGTTCACAAAGTCTAAGATCCATCTCAAGTGCATTGATGCGAGAGTCAACAGGCACATTGCATTGCTGAACCATCAGTTTTTGCCTCCCCCGAACAATCTCTGGTTGCCACACATTTAACGCAACAGAAGCTTGCCTGACAGTATCGAAAGTATCAAATACCAGTAACCTTACATAAGTGAATAGCCAATCACAACTTGAAAGTACAGAATACTAGAGTTTATAAATAAAAACAAATAAAATCCCAGATAGTACAAGTTTGCATTTGGCAACAACGAATTGCAGCCACAGTATTCAGATCAGAAAGATTCAGTTCAAATATGAGGTTGATCTTTCATGAATTCCAATTCCCTGAGCCGAATTCCACACGAGAGCATTCTGTTAAACTCCAAGAGTTGAATTGTAACCAAACTAGAAAGAGATTTCATCCTGAATATTGTCACTTCTCAGAACATCAAGGTGATATGTCACAATAAGAAATAACAATCAAATGTCCCATCTTATTTTTCAACAGCTACATGATCTCTAACAGCTGAACTTGTTCCACAATCTCTGGGTTGTTCACAGGGGAAATATTGCAACAGAGGCTGTATATCAAAATATAATAAGCACCTCAACAATCTGGATCTTTATTACCTGATCTTGCGCAGATTCAGTAACTCAGCAACTGTCTTATTCATTTTCTCTTTCTCCTCCAAGGATTGAAGCTTTATCTCCCGAATCTTTCTCAAATACTCAGCTATTTGACTCTCAATTCTCAAAACAACCCTTCTACGTGCCAGGCGCTTTTGCTCCCTGTCCTTCTCATATCTTTGAGATTTTCCACAACCCCTTCAGTTATTTACCAGTAGAAAGCAAAAAAATTCTCGGAAAAAAATACTAAAAACAAAAATGAAGGAATAAAGGATTCCAATGTTTATCCATGGATCATATAGTTGTACCTCTTCCTTACAAGTGCCTCGAAGAATTTCTGATTAGTGGCTTGTAACTGAAAACTTGAATTCGCTTATATCTTTTTTTTTTCATTTTTAACCACCGAAAGGGAACAATACAGGACCAAACAGCTGTATCTTTTCCTTCAACATACTTAGTTCTTGCTAAGAATTAACATTTCCTACCACCTTATTGACAGCTAAAACTAAATAAATTCGTAACTTTTCAACACAGATATTCCGGCCACAACGTCAAAATCGGTATAAAAAACCCAAGAACCTACCTTGAGAAATTCAAATAATAGAGCGAGATAAAAATTCAATTATTCTAAGAAATCAGGGGGAAATAATAACATACCTGATTTTATAGAGGATTTTAGCTTTACTAGAAGCGATGGAAGATGAAGCGCTATTATTCTTAAAAATATTATCCTTTTTATTGAAATTGGTATCGTTTAGGGATGAAGAGAAATCAGCCAAAAGAAGAGAAGACCAGTGAGAATCTTCGGCGGAGAGTCGGTTGAGGCGGCGACAGGTGATTGAAAGGCAACAGAGATCTTTGTAATTTAGGGTTTTGGATAGGATTCCTAATTCCAGAATTCTTCTACACAGCTCGTCCGGTAGCACCAACATTTTGTATTGATCAGTTCTGCTCTCTGATTTTCAAGTGAAGGGACGATTTCCAGATGTAAATAAATAAAATGGTTTAATAATGCTAAAAATTTAAAAATACCTTCTTCTTTTTTTTACAAATAATATTTATTTAAAAATACCTTTATTTTATAAACTTTTTAAGAAGTAATCATTGACCATTCCAAAACCAAAATAACAAGAAATCATTAATGGAAAATGGTCTTTTTCCATCCAAATTTCAATTTTCCATGGAAAATATTTTTAAACCATTGAAAATATGTCACCCAAATTTTGATTATTGAACTTCGACACTTTGCTAATCACTTGTAAGTCATCCATTGTGATTTGAATAACATCGTTGTTATTAAACAAGTTTTATAAAATTTCACAATCTTACTTCGTGCATGAACTCTGGAAGGTCAAAATTTCGTTTCGAAAACATGGCTCAATGTTAAATTGTTGAAACTCTCTCACTATGCGCTAACAATATTCAATTATCTCAATTTGTTCACTCAAATATTGATAGCTCACGCCACTCTCTCTCTCATCATCTCACTTTCTCTGTGTATCAAATGCACCCTTGATTTTAATACCAATCTAAGTGGCAACATTAGTGACATTAAATTACAAGTTAAGTAATTATAGTTCATTTAATAAAACATATGATATGTCTAAAATGCGCTTGAACAGTTTTCCCAAAGTCTAACAACTCAATAGACACATCATTACACCTAAACTTGTATTCAACATTATTGATGTTAGATAGCATTATTCATTTATTTTTCTCTAATATATCACACACATCACACATGTACATACAACGAAAAACACATATATATAGATGTTTAAGGCAGTGGAAAATAAAATTATAAAACAATATTCTAAGACCTTCTCTGGTGTCGACAGCTTAAGAAGAATCTGAATTTTTTAGCAGCAAGAAACCAAATTTATAAACAAAAGTAGGGTGGTTTTGATGTTATCCCCATATAAATTTCTTCTTCGCTCAATAATGTTGGCTTCCCAAATAACTGGTGGATTGAGACTTAAAAGAGGCATAATACGAGTTGATGAACCAGTTTAAATTTTGTGTTTGGGGGGGGGGGGGGGGGGGGGGGGTTTTTTTTTTTTTTTTTG